ATGTATGTATGTATATATGCACCAAGGCCCACTTATGAATTGTCATTCACAGTTTGGAAAATCTCTGGCCTTAGACCTTTGGTTTTCAAACTTGTGTATGCTTAGGAATCACTTAAGACATTTGTTACAAATGCAGATTTCCTTGGCTCACTCCAGGAACTGGTTCTGTGGGTCTATGGTGGGACCCCCAAGTTGGTTCATATAGCATATATAAAATGCTAGGTACATTGCCAGGTGCACAAGTATTCAATAAATAATAGTTTTATTCTTGGACATAAATGCTTTTTATCTTTAGGGATATGATTGCCTCCTCAAGGTTTGGCCTGCCGCTGGCAAGGTGGAATTAATGCTAAGCACTCTATTCCCTAGGGTTGAGGAGGTAGGAAAGTAGGGGATGGGTCCTGGATCTGACGTAAATCTTCAAGTGCTTAACTTCCCTGGAGAATTTCATATTTTCAGAAACTTAGGGCTTGAGGATCACAAAGATCAGAGAGGTTCAGTGGCTTGCCCAGGGTCATGTTGTAAGTGAGTGGATCTCAGAGATAGAACTCACTTGATTAAGTCTAATGTTCTTGTCCATTCTGCCATAATAGCAGGTTGGATCTAGGGCAGAAGTTGAAGCAGAAAGAGAGCTTCCCTGCCTTGCCTATCCCAGAAGCAGAGGCAAAAGATTTTGTGGCATTTGACTGGTAGCTTGGCTTTACAGTAATGAAACTGGAGAGATCTAAAAGAAAAAATATACCTAAAAGTTGCTGTGAGTTATAGCTATGAAAAAGAGATATAGTTTAATTACTTTATAATATATAGTTTTATAATACTACTTAAATAATTTATTAAACCAGCACTAAAGATGAAAATTTTTCTTTAATTCTGCTACCAAAATATAACTGATATTTCTATTCTCCTCTGATTGCATGTTCCCATATTTTTATATAATCTTAATTTTTGTTTATACCATTTTTGTTCCCTTTATTTAACGCTGTTCTGGAAATTTTTTTTCCAAAGATTTTTATTGGGGAATTGGGGGAGGGGTACATTTTTTGGGGAATCGGGGAAGGGGAACAGACAGGTTGCTGGCCTTTTGTTCTTCAGTCTAGTTGTGGAGCACGTTGCTTCACTGGCCCAAGTTGGCACCATCATTGCGCTCTTCCCAGGTGAGGCGGATCAGTCGCTGGCTTCTGCAGGGCCACTCTAGCTGGCTGCTGGCCGCTCACGCTGGCTGCTGGCTAAACACGGTAGCCCATGGCAACCCACTGCAACAGGGGCTGCAGCCTACGCCATCGCCGGCGACTCCCGGCAGCCCAGCTCCAGGTTGAGCTGTTGTTCAGCATCTTAGCTGTGGAGGGCAGTGTCACTGGCCCTCATATGTGGGATCCGAACCAGGGCCCTCTGGCGTCCTAAGCCAGCTCTTAACCAACACGCCACTCAGCCGGCCCTGTTCTCGGAATTTTTGTATGTTGTTGATAGTCTTCATATTTCTCATTATTAATAACAGCCTAATATTTCATAGAGTGAGATAGCCATAATTTACTCAGCCTAATTAAACCGACAGCAGAAGATTTTTTTCCAGTTATTCCATACTATCACTAGCACTGTAAAGTCTTGGCTATTTAAAATCACTTGTGTAATTTTTGCCTTTCATGACACTCAAGAAGAATCCTAATAGGAAGGTCAGGAATGTGGACTTGAGTTACGAGATTTTGCCCTCCTTGGATGTATAGATTTGCCCATCTAGGTTTCTATGTACTAGAGCAGTAGTGATCAACCACGATATTCGTCATACATATGAGAGTTAGGCTGAATGTAGTTTTTAAACTAATAACTATAAACATTTCCAAAATGATTTCCATATAAAAATATATTAATTATATCAGATTCAAGCAGATTCAAGTGCTGTAATAACACTCATGCTATGACTAGCTTTCTTTATGTATACCTTTTCCAAAGATTATGAGTATGTATTCATTTGTAATTTACACTTTTTAATAAAGGAGCCAATTAACTTGACTGAGAGAATAAAAGTTATAATTGACCTATATTAGCACATCTCCCTTTTCAAAACATGCATATTGTCTTATTTTCTGTCATGCATTTAACTAGTCCCTCTTTTAATATTATAGAATATTTCAAACAGAAAAGTACAGAGACTGTTATACACCATCATTCATGTATTACCATAGACTTAACAATTGTTAACAGTTTGCTGTATTTTCTTTAGATATTGTTTTTTTAAAGAACTAAAACATTACAGCTACCTCTTTGTACCCCTTCCTAATCTTATTTCCTTCCCACCCTAGATAACTGTTCTTCTGAAGTTGTTACATATTTTTCCTATCTGTGTTTTTCAGTGCACTCAAATGTAGATGGCCATAAATTGTTTGTAATATATTGTTTTGTATGTTCTTTAACATTTGCATAAATGGTATATTGTACTTAATTAACTCTTCTACAACTTTTAGTGGTCAATATTGTTTTTGAGATTTATTCATATTGATAAATGTATATAAAGTTAGTTATATTTTTGTTGAGCAGTGTTCCATCCTATAACTATGCCACTTTATTTTTTCTAGCTTTATTGAGATATAATTAACACATAACATTGTGTAAGTTTAAGGTGTACATGCGATGATTTAATACCTATACACATTGTGAAATGACTGCCTCGATAAGGTTAGTTAACACATCCATCACATTTGTGTGTGTGTGTGTGTGTGTGTGTGTGTGTGTGTGTGTGTGGTTTGAACATTTAAGGGCTACTCACTTAGCAACTTTCAAGTATATAATATGGTATTGTTAATTCTAGTTACCTGCTGGACATTTGATCCCCAGAACTTATCTTATTTAGCTATATTATTTTAATATTATGTAAGTATATTATAAAATCAGCTATTATTGATAAATAATAGTTATTGTTTAATAATGGTTTATTATATGCTTGAATGAGACTAGTTTCAGGCCAATTGACAGTCTTCTGCAATGTCACACTTCTAATAGTTGGAAAGTTGGTCTTAATTTGGGGCTTTAAAATTTTTTTCCAAATTTATCTCATTTAATTCTCACCTCAAAGATATGTTTGTGTACTTTGGCCAACATCTCCCCATTTACTCAGCCTCTGGAAGCCACCATTCTACTCTTTGTTTCTGTGAATTAAGCTTTTTTTTTAATTGGGACATACATTTTTATTTCTCTGGCATAAATTCACAACATTACAACTGTCAGGTTGTACAAGTACATGTTTAGTTTTTAAAGAAACTGCCAAACTATTTTTTTCCCCGTTTCAAGTATTTTTATTTATTTATTTATTTATTTATTTATTTATTNTAAATATCTCGAGTTCTCCCTACTTTTACTGATCGCCACGGAATCTGAGGGCCCCTTTTTTCCCCGCTCCTAAGGTTTGAGTTCCTCACCTGGGTCAGTTTTCCGGTCGCTGTCTAGGCTCGGAAAATACACAGCCGAGAGCTCTGCGTCTCTCTGTTGCCCGGGTAACCGCGTCGATCTCCCCCCCTCCCTCCCCTCTCACCCACCACCTCCGGTTCCCGCTTGACTTTCCTGGCCAATCACAGAAGAGTCTCCTTTGAGAAAACGCCAGCATCAACCAATCCTAGCGCTTGCCAGTCGGGGGTCAAAAACTGCCCTTTCGAGTTAAATAGGGTCTCCCCTTTAATCCTCTGGCTTTCTTAGCGTCACTTCAGCGGGAACCTGTCCACTGTGAAAGCCGGTATTGTCCTGCTCCAGTAGGTCCTGGCCTGCGTCTCTGACCGTTACCCATTTACTTTGGGTCCCCGGTAGCGATTGGCAACGGCGCCGTCACCAAGGTAAGTTTGAGGGGTTTTTCGTTAGTCCGGGTCGTCAGAAGTCTCACTCTTCATTACGCTGCTTTTACCATACGTGAATTCCAGATCGGAAGACTCCGGAGCGGCAGGGACGGAAGGATAGGCTCCGTGGTCTGAGAGGTTTTGCGGTCGCTCTACATGTGCCGCCCACACCCCCTACCCGCCCCCTGTGACAGAAACGTGTTGTGGTGCCGCTCGGCTTCAGCGTTTGTGTGTGTAGGGGTGCGATCGCGCTTTTTTTTTTCTTCTCCCGCTGCTACGTGCAAGTCATCCGGGTCCGGAGCCTCAGGGGGAGCGCCCCTTCGTCCACCACGCGGGTCTTGTTAGGAACCGGCTGGAGCTACGCGTCGCTCCCACTCCCGGTGACATCGCGGGACTCTAGCTCCGCTTTTCTCATCTTTGAGAGGAGAAACGCCGGTGCGCCGCCGGCTTGCCGCTGCTTCGCAATCTGTTTTCACTTAGAGGTACAGTTGTGAGGTATAGTTTCCCATGGATTCCATGGTTTGGTTTTAAACAAAGGGGAAAAAAAGAGATGGCTTAAAAATATGTGGAGTATTTGGAACTGATAAGCTGTTTTCGATAGTGGAACCCTCATTTATTATTTGAGTGTTATAAGCAAGGAGAAATAGGATAGGCATAACGGATGGTTACTTTTGGTCATCCGGGGTGTGGAATTAAATTATGAATGAACTAAACTGCTTTCCTTCTTTCTGCTGTCACGTTTTTGTAACTTTTACCCCACCTGGCGAAGAGGATAGTGAAGCTTGAGTAATTTGTGTATTCTACTTGTTATTACCATGGTAAACAAAAAATGAAGGTAGAATATTTAAGTTATTGGCTAAAGTTAAGTTAATTGGCTTTTTGGCCAATTTACTTATACCATAATACCTCTTATTACAGATCTTCAGAGGTTTTTTTGTTTTTGTTTCCCCCCCTCCCCACACAGAAGAGTAAACACCTTTATTACATGGGCTAAGCTGGGAGGGAGGGGGATTTATTTGCTTTTCCGGGTCCTGATTTTCCTCAGACAGAACTCCAGCTCCTTGCCCTCTAGCACAGAGCCATCTGCTCCGACAACGCTGGTCTTGAAGTGATTGCAAGAAGCTTGCCCTGCTGGAACCACTCCTCTAGAAGACTGCTGATTTTGGCGTTCTTTTTCATTCCATTATATTTCTTCTGAATTTTCTTTAATAGTCTTTTTGTTTAAAATCTCTTCCTCCTCAGGAGTCAGCTTGGCCCCCTTCTTGCAGCCCAGGGCCGTGCAAAGTGGGACTTGTACCAGTGTCCACCGGTGTGCTGTCAGTGAACACAATGCAGTTCTTTACTAGGGTCTTGGTGCGGACCAGTTCGTTGTTGGATGCATTTGGACAACATCAATAGTCCTTGTTTTGCGGGTACAACACTCGGAGCCCCAGGAGAAGTTCCCCACGTCCAGCCTCGAGGCACAGGTACTTCTGGTTGTCTCCGCCCATGCAGACTGTCTGTGTGCAGCCAGGGGCCAATCTTAGCATTGGCTCATATTTTCACTTCTTGTGGTAAGAAGGCTTTTTCTTGCCTGGGGTCCTGTGACGCTTGTGCCAGTTGACCAGAGAGATGCCCATGACTCAGCACCAATTGGAAAGAACTAGATCATCAGAGTTTAAGTGTCTTAAATTTTATTTCTCTAGATACTTGTGGAGTTTAAGTAATATATGCTATGCCATCTCCTTGCTTGCTTTTTTGTTTCTATTCTGCCTCATTTTGCATTATTCTCAGTTTATAATTCCTAGCTCATGTATTTCAGACCTTTTGGCTGTGACTCACCTCAAGAAATACATTTTATGTTGTGACCCAGTACATACATACAGGTATATAACTGATAACTGTTTTGCAGCATAAGTACTTACTACATGCAATGTACTCTGAT